GCTTCAAAATCTTCAAACTCACACTCAAACCAAAGCAGATCAAAGCAAATTCAATAATCAAAACAAAACTCGAATTGAACTCCTAGAGTTGGTATGAATTGCCTCATCAAATCCACAGAACAAATTAAAATAACATTGCATCAATTAACATGGACAAACTGCAACCCTACTGACGAACAATCACTAAAAACTCCAACTAAACTTGGGACATTTGAATAAAACCCTACTCCTAAACTAATGACAATTTGAAAACAATGCTATCAACTACTCATGGAGCAAGACAATTATGGAATTATGAGAAAGAGAAGAAAACAGAAACAACATTGAAATGAACTCACTGATTTTGACTCTAGGGTTCTGCCAGCTTATCACCTCAAAATCAACCAACTCTGGCGAGATTCGAGCGCCATTGACACTGGATTCGCCATTAGGGGAAGGAGGAGGCCATGTGGTATGAATTTGACAAGATTTGGGAATTTAGGGTTCTAACCGGAATCTTCAAATTGATATTCGAAGAGTTCCGGTCAAATTTGAGGGACGGGGTTTGGGGGGTTTGATAGAGGAGGACAAGGTGGTCCCATGGTGTTAATTTGGTGGTGAATGGAGAAGGTTGTGTTTTGGCCGGAAAACTTTGGTTGAAGATTCGACGAGTTTGGTTGGGGTTCGAGGGAAACGGGTTATGGATCTGTAACGAGGAGGAGGAGAAGAATAGGAGGTGTAATTTTGGACGGAAATGGAGGCCGGCCACGGCGGCGAACGGTGGCGTTACGCCGGAGATATCAAGGATGGTCTGTGATGGGGAATGAGGGGTAGGGGGGTGAATTCCGACCTTTATATATTAAAAACCTCGTTAGTTCTCAATCGTTGGATCAAAAGAATCAATGGCTGAGATTGAAACTAAGCCAAACGACGTCGTTTAGAGGGTAATAGAAGTTGGACCGGTTCAGGGGTGATTTTGGGCTGGGTATTGACACGAAAAATGGCCCAAATTGGCCAATCCCTTCAAATTCTTTTGTTTATTTTCTTCTTTTCTTTTTTTTTGTATTTTATTTTATTTTCTGATTTTATTAAATGTAAGATTTAGAATAAAGACCCAAATGGATTCTAAAATTACACCAATTAAATTTCAAAATCAAACTAATTCCTAATTTTAAAAGAAAATTTAAGACAAATTTTTTAAAAATTAAGAGTAGAAATGCAAAAAACCATTTTTGTTATTTTCTTTATTTTGTAATATTAAAATGCATACTATTTGTATTTTTGAAATTATATCAATTAAAATGCACACAAAAATGCAAACAATACACAAAATCATGCAATTAATTCCCTAAAATTCAAGTAATAAAAGAAAAATCCTAATTCTAATGAATTTATAGGAGTAATTTAAGCGTGGCAAAAATCACGTACTCACAATGACTGAGTATTCCTTGGCTTGTATCTTTCTCCAGAGATCACCGGGTCCAGTTTCAATGATGGCTTGTCGGCTANGGGACCTCCATGTAGTGCCTTAAGCATGTTCTCTTCTTTTTGAAATTTAATGGGAAGAAGTCAGAACCTAGATCAATAAGTGGAATATCTTCAGTTGGATTCCATAAGGCAAGAAGCTTGTTTTGTAGTAGATGATGTGCTATCTTCTTACCAAATACCTTAACTATTACTGAGCATTTCCATGGCGTATATAAACGGCATTTGTCTTCAGTAGTGATAGGTATAAAAATGTCGTCATCTTGATTGTTGTGAAGACTTTCATCCGATAGATCCAGTGCATAGTTCATACTCTGTTGTATATGAGGAGTTGTTGTGGGGTGTTTATTAGAGATTAGGGCTTGAAGAAAAGATGGTAAAGGTGTGATTGGTGTTGTATCGTCAATTTGCATCGAGCCTATATCAGGCGGTACATTTATTGTGTTGTCGATGTAGAGTTATTCATTGCTGGTTGAGTTTGGTAATGTGTGCTGTATATGATTATAGTTTATGAAGAAAAGCAGTATAGCAAGTAGTAGAATTGGAGTTTTAGACAGAGAAACACTCACATCTTTCTAAGTTTTTTCCGCTACTCCTCGAATAAAGTTAAATGCACATGAAACATCAGAAGTAAAAGAATCGATGTTGTTGGAACTGATCTTATTGATTCTGGTATACGAATGAACTATTTTACAAATAACACTTTTGAATAAAGCTATATACTAATGGACATGCGTGCATTTTTTTCTTTTTGGTAAAAATGGACATGTATACAGTATACATGAAAACATTGTTTAGTGAAACTGTGAAAAAAATAAAAGAAGAGAAGTTCCTCTTTGAAGCTGCAGCTACCTTGAGTTTTTTGAGTTCCCAAGATAAACCATGTTTTCCTCTAGCATTGACCATGAATCCTTGCACTTGGATTCAAAATTTGGTAAATTCCCATTGCTAGTGTTGCTAGGAGCCCAAAAGCCATGAAAACCAAGTGGGAAATTCAAATGTCTTGGGACTTCAAGTCTTGCAACCACATCATTCTTCTCTCCAATTCTTTGTGCATCCAAAATTACAAGATAGCACCTTTGTGTTGACACTGCATACTGCAAATTTCCACATACAAAATCATAAGAATAGTACTATAGAAGTAATGCTGAAGTTTGTTATAAAAATTAATGTTTAACTTTTATACAATTCTTTTACACTACTAGGTCACTACGTACTCGTAGCTAGAGATGGCAAAATGGTTAAAAGAAAACAGTTATCCACCCATATTATCCATCAAAAAATGGGTTGGATAATGAACCGTTTAAAAACAGGTCGAATATGGATAAAGAACCATATTATCCACTTAGAAAATGGTTAACCAAATGGATAACCAATGGATAACTAATGAATTTAACTTTTACATTTGTAAAGCCTCAAATTGGAGTTCCTCAAGTTTGGGAGACTAGGAATTCTCTCATAAGTGATCATATTTAAGAAGCCATGGTTAATATGGATATCCATATTATCCGCCGGATAAACCCGTTTTTATCCGTCTCAAATACGGTTCGGGTCGAATGATTTATCCGCTTTTTAAAATTACCCATTTTGACCCGCTCATATCCGACCCGACCCCCATTTGCCACCTTTCATAAACTATGGGATTAGTGTCTTTGAAAAAACAAGGTCAGTTATATTTTACAATAGATTAAGTGGGTGTTTGGACATAAGAATTGTGAAATTCCGAAAAAAAAAGAATTTTTTTTCAACTTAAAAATGGTATTTGGAAATTAGAGTTGTGTTTGGACATGAATACAATTTGGAACTGTTTTTGAATTTCTGTGAGTGCTTTGACAAATAGTTTTTTCGAGTTATTCATATTCCGAAAAATTATGAAATTCAACTTCAATTGAAAGATTGAAATTTTGATGGCTAAACGTTGATTCCGGAAAAAATTGAATTTTTTTTTCGAGTTGAAAATGGTATTTGGAAATTAGAGTTGTGTTTGGACATGAATACAATTAGGAGCCGTTTTTGAATTTTTGTGAGTGCTTTGAAAATAGTTTTTCTAGTTTTTTAAATTTTGTAAATTCATCTTCAAGTGAAAGATTGAAATTTTGATGGCCAAACGCTGATTCCGGAAAAAGTGAATTTTCTTTTATAGAAAAATGAATCGTTTTTTATGGCCAAACGGGCCCTAAAATATTCAGGCTGTGTAAAAAATTAAGTTAAATGCAAAAATAAATAATGATGATTTAATTGCTTACTTCAACGACAAGAAGGTATCCATCATCTTCTGTAGTTCCCCTTGGGATAAAAATAGGCTCGCCAATGAATCTCCTTCTACCAGCTGACCATTTATGGACTGATTTATCAGCAGTGTTTAGTTTCACAACTGTGTCAAAGGGAAAATGTGGCAGTGCTTGGCGAGAACCAGAAGAAGTTGCTGCATAAACATATTCATTTTTCTTGCCAGAATAGTCTGGATTCATGGCAGGGAAATCTGCAGCTTTATCCCACTGAGGGTTTAGGTCATTTACTGAACTTTTCGTGCAATTCCCATATGTATCCAAGCTTATGGATACCTGCAATAGCATAATTATTTCAAGAAAATCTCAGAAATACTTTATCTTGGTTGAGATATATAGATCAAGATTGTAACAAATGTGATAATTTAATTTGGTTGTTCTAGTTCACGCATGGCCCCATTCTTCTAGTATGACCCGTTTTGTAGGTTCATTTAGACACTATCTATTTCAATTCGAATATGTATTATATATAACACAGTCAGAACAACATCCCTATATAATAACTACTCACTATAAAAGTTAAGTTTTCTTTCAGAATCGGTCTTTTATGTTATATTATAATATATGTCCTTTATAACAATACTTCACTATAGCATTTCAAAAATATCGGAACAAACGCGACTATTATAGAGAGGTTTGACTTGTAGATCACACGTTCATTCTGATTAAGTCATCGATTCTGCCTTTGCTCTCATACAAATGTAATGTGGGCCTACCGTTTTATACACAATCAAATTAAGTTAAATTTGATGCATGTATTGACATACACACTGAGACCATAGAAGATAAATTTAACTTATAAATACCAACAATATAAATAATTATTATACTATCATGTTTATTTAAACGTAGTAGATTAACTAATTTACCACGTCTAATTGTACTTATTATGAGTAATTAATTATAGTTCTGTGATTTGATAATATAAAATATTTTATTAAACTCTAAAAATCCCTAGACAGTGGCAGGAGGAGGAAAAAGACCTGAACTAAGTGGGGCAATAGCTTTTCTTCTCCTCCTTCTACATTCATCATTGAAGGATCAAGTTTGCCACTTTGCCAATCATAGCCTGGAAACACATGGAGCATAAACAAAATTTCCATTATCTCTATTTTATTATTTATAATATTTAATTGGAAAATAGCAGAAACTAAGGGCATCAATTGGAAAATAGCAGAAAATTGTGTATTTACCAAACATTTTCTGGAAATTGAACCATTGATAAGAGCAACCAGAAGCCTGAATTTGTATATTTATATTTCCATTCTCATCTTTTTCTTCAAAGGCATTTCCAACATGTAACACCCACATTTGTCTAGGAATTTCTATAGGTTTTCTCCAATCTCTTCGTACAATATTATTTGTTTGCTTATGATCATCAGGAAATCTAGGCACCAAATAAATAGGAGATGTTGCTTTGCTTGGATTTACTGATAATGCAGATATCATTGGCGACAATCCACATACTGCTGTCATTGACCCTGCACTTCAAAATTAACAAGTTATATATGGAAATTCCCATCGATTTTGCTATTTTTTTTTAGAAAGAGTATTTATTGAATATAATTCCAGTACAGAGAAAGTATTTTTTTTTTTTTTTTTAAAAAAAAAGTTATCTTCATATCTTAAGTGAATTGATCTCTATCTAACGTAAGGAGTTGTTTTTTAGTTCTTAAGTGAATTGATCTTTATTTAATGGTAAGCATTCATAGTTAATTAAGCGATCGAAGATTTATCTCACTATATTCTATTCCTTTTATTTTTTAAGTGCTGGGTATTGGTTAATTATCTAAAAACTTATATTCCTGTGCATATTGATTTCAACGTTTTGGCATCCCATTCTTGATTAATTAATTTTATGTGATTTATGAAGAGCTAGAGGTAAGAGTTGTGATTTTCTATGTATCAGCAATCTCCATCGATAACCTAACATTGTATAGTTGACTTAGCTGGAAAACTACTTTTTTTTAATATTAAGATTTTCATTAAATAAATTTCAGAGAAATAAAGGTAAATAGGAACACCAACGTAATTACGTCAATATAGTATTCTGTTTGTTACAATTTATGTGACACACTTTTCTTATTTAATCCGTTCAAAAAATAATGACATATTTTTATATTTGAAAATAATTTAACTTTAGTATATTTTATCTTTAATGAGAAATTAGTATAGCCACACAAATGTTATGGAATGTTTGAGACCACAAGTTTCAAAAAAAAATT